ATGTTTAGATATGGGAAGGAAAAAAAAACTATCTTGACTGACAAATTCTGAAGATTCTTCCTTTGCAATGACTTCCTTGCAATGTGACATATCATTCCTGCTTTCATACCCTTACTTCAGCAATTCTTCCCACCCAAAACTCCTTCCCCTGACTGACTCTATTTACATCTGCCTTATTTTAAAAGTCCTAAGTAAGGTCTAACTTAAATTGTATCCTATCCATGAACCATCCTAAAATCTCCAGTACTTACAGAACCTCTCTTTTTGCTGAAGTCCTAATGAGCAAGTTAATATTCTTATCTTTTTTCACTTTCTGGCATTTAATCATTTTTATTCTCACTGTGAATAGGGTCAATGCCCTGACAATATGACATCAGATCTAAACTGTTAAAAGCCTTGCAGTAGCAGAGTAGTTAAGAGCTTGGGTTCTAGACTCTTAAGAGTCAAAAGTTGGAATACCAACATTCAAATCCCAACTCTACCATTTATTAGCTATGTGAACTCAGGCAAGTTAATCTAATCTAATATCTCTGTGCCTTAATTTCCTCACAGGTTAATATGGGAAAATTAAGCAGCTATCTTAAATAGTTATTTAAGGATTAAGTTAACATGTAAAGCATTCAGAACTGGGTATGGTACATAGCGCACAACAAGTATTAATTAAGCTGTTACCCATTTGTCCTTGCTCCAAGGCCTCCCTACATATTGTTGTTCTATCACTTCTAAATGGTGGTTCTGCTGTGTCAGTCCCCTGCAAAGAACTTTCCCCGGCCTTCCACAGTACATGGGTCCATGCTCTTAGCTTGGTAATCAAGGCACTCACAACTATCTCCTCAGTTTAAGCTACTCAGCATCTGCTTTATACAAAATAAGAAACAGACATATAAGGCAGACACCCTCTCTTCCAGAGTCTGACAACTACTTATAAAAAAGAGATACAAACATAAAAACGTCACACAGAATGGATGTTCACACAAAGATACTCTCCAAAAAACTCCAATCCAACAAAATCAACTTCATCAGTGACTGGAAGATGTCAAACTCATTCAAAATTACCTGCTTTTGTCTGTTTTATTCTACTCTCGTCCACCCAAAACACACAAAAACCACCCAAAAAGACCTTTTCTTAAGGTGTACCTATCCACTTCTATTGTAAAGTCTAATTCAAACACCATCACCCTTGCCATTTAAACTTACTTAATACTATTTCATTTCAATCAACTGTTGTTTTTTTTTTAAGATTTTATTTATTTGAGAGAGAAAGTGAGGGACAGCATGAGCTGGGGGAGAGGCAGAAGCAGACTCCCCGCTGAGCAGGGAGCCTGACACAGGGCTTGATCCCAGGACCCTGGTATCATGACTGGAGCCAAAGGCAGACACTTAACAGACTGCACCACCCAGGAGCCCTTCTCAGTCAACTGTTATTAAGGTGTATAGTCACCCTCTGTATCCAAAATATAAGCTCCCAGAAAGAATAACAATTTCTAACCAGTTGTTTTCTTCCCTCTCACCACTGTGCCCTCCATTAAAACAGATCATTATAGAACAGGTGCTCAAAAATATGCATTGAATTTAAGTAAAAAAAGTGAAAATGGAAGTAGAATACTACTATCACTTATAACTAATTACTAAGTAAACTATAGTGAGAGTGGAAATAGACTACTGTATCAACCATTAGACTATCACGTGTCCACAGAGACTTAAATCAAATCAGGAGGCAGTCCACTCACTACTCCTATGTAACCACCATATGGGTAGATTTGCTTGTTCAGTGGTACCTTGGTCAAAAGAAGGATTAATAACCATTCTATTATATGCCATCTAATTTGAAGAGCTTGACCTCCAAAGAGAAGTGAAGTATGATACACAGGGTCAGCATCCAAGCAGGGCAATAACGGACTGCTACACCCCTGAGTAGATGATTTGGGAAAACGTATTAAATTCCACTCTATGGCAAACCTGTCACCCTCCAAACTGCAGGTTTTCAGTACCATAACACACTCCACAAACTTAGCATTAAAAAGTGTCACCTAGGGGCGCCTGCGTGGCTCAGTCGTTAAGTGTCTGCCTTCGGCTCAGATCATGATCCCAGGGTTCTGGGATCAAGCCCCGCATCGGCCTCCTTGCTTGCCAGGAAGCCTGCTTCTCCCTCTCCCACTCTCCCTGCTTGTGTTCCTGCTCTTGCTGTCTCTCTCTCTGTCAAATAAATAAAAAAATCTTAAAAAAAAGTGTCACCTAGATTTCCACGTGCCTATGTTTTGCAGATTTTCTACAATGAGTATGTATTACTTGAATAATCAGAAAGTTTCAAGTGTTTATTACTTTTTCCAGCTTTTAATGGGTCTCCTATTAATGGCCAGTGCAGAATGCAAAAATCACAAGGTAAAAGTCAACCAAACGGTATATATTACTCCAATTCTCCACTGCCCAGGGAAAGTGCCAATTTGAACAAAGTTTTCAACTTCATATGTTTCCATTTAAAAGATTACTTCTACATATGCCATCACATGAAAGAAAAAACAATTCTCATTACCTTCCTAGGACTCCATAGCACTACAGAAATTGCAAAGAGCTGCCTAGATGGTTCGCTCTTCCCCACACCTCAAACACCCTCCTCCCTAAGGACTAAGCCCTTAATAAGGGCCACAAACAGGGTGCTAAGTAATTTACATGATTATCTCAATCCTCAAAACAATAGTAGGTACCACTATTATCCCCAGAAAACTAAAGCTTAGAGATGAGATGTTTGAAAAATAAAAGCTTGCCTGAGGTGATGCTTATAGGAAGGGATTATATTATTGTATAAAGGAATTTGCTGGGAATATATATTAGGCTCAATGACTTGTCACGAGACAATTGTAGCAGAAATCCTCAAACTGGAAATTTCACACATAGAAAACAATAAGTGATATTTGGTCAAACTGTGGGTTTTCTTTGGAATTGTGCCTCAGGATACCTGGCACATAATAGGTGCTCAATAAAAACCTGTCTGTTCAAACCTAAATTTTAAATAATTTTATTCCTAAAACAATTTGATCACGTGGCAAAATCTGACAGGTGATTTGTTTTTACCAGATTAGGTTGTGCAATAATCAATAATTATATCTATACCTACATAATGGCCTCAAATCCTGTTTTTAGCTAAAGCAGGAAAAAAAGTGAAAATGGTAGAAATAAGCTGTGTATCTTTTAAAGATAAGTTTTTCTAATTACAAATTCCATTCAAAATTTTAACACGTCATCTCAATTCATACAATACTCACTATGGATCTATCCTTAGCCATCTCAAAATAACCTACTGTGGGGGTTTTAGTATAGCCATGAAAAGCACTGCTCATGTAATCACTATTTTTTAAATAAGTAGAAGAAAAAAATCTGAGTCTCCTTTGAGTAGTGTACCAAAGTAAAGCAGGTGCGTTTGCAGATTATGTACTTTAAGCAAACCTGTTATTTGATTAATTGGACCTTAGCTTAGACAAAAAGATCAAAGCTGGTTGAGTTAAGGCACTAGCAGTTAACTGATGTTTGAATTCGATAGCTGGAAAGATGAGTTCTATGAATATTCACTTTAAATGATTATGGGTAATCTATGAAGTCTTTCAGACACCCAAACTTTAGTTTCTAGGGAGAAAAAAAGGGTCTGTTCCATAGGTAAATGAACATCTGGTGTTACACAGAAAAATTAACATATTTTTCAGTTCTTATCCTACACACAGAGTAGGGCATAGGTATTATGCAAGTGCAATCTTTTCCTCCTTTCTTTGAAAAATGATTTCTGTAATAATTCCTTAATTCTGTAGCAACAGAAGTATTGCTTTCTCTCTTTTTTCTGAGGCTCAGGTTTCTTCCATTTCAAAATACTACTATTGAAAACTTAAATTCTTCTTTTAAAAAAAGACTTAGTCATTTAACTCAGGAAGAGGGAGCGAAAAGTCATGAGGTGAAGCCCAAGGTATTCCTATTAGTCTTACATAACTTACTCTAAGTTGGAACTGATTCAGTATCTCAATGAAAACCTGAGGTAAAAGCACAAAAATGAGTTCTTCAGTATATTCTCCACACACATAAGGTTTTAAAAATTGAAAGGGTCTTAATTTTTTTCTTGTATTTTTAAAATATAAGCACCCACATGTATGGTAAATTAGGGTGCCAACTTAAAAATGCAAAAGGGTCACACTTAAAATAAAGGGCATTAAATTCATCCTATCACATCTAGGTAATGCAATATTTGATAGAATTGGATATAATTTCAGAAAGTAAATTAATTTCCTAACACTGATTTTTAAATATCACCTCTGTAAGTATGCATTAAGTATTTTTAATAAGTTCTTGCAGGGAACATCAAAAAGTGATTTTCAAAAGCAATACATATATGTTCACCCAACTTGCAAACAAAACTCTGAAAACGTAAAGTTACAGTAGTTCATGCTTAATGAAATTGGCTTTGAAAATTGCAAATTACGCCTTCATGGGTAAATATGTATCAAATCTTTCAAAACTGTAAATTTACACAAACAACTGTCCTTACTAGAAAGACCCTGATCTGAACTCAACTAAAAGCTGTGTTAACTGCATCTCACCACTGAGACACCTGAGCCCCAGTGTAATACTCGCCACAGATTCCCAGCATTGCTTTGGGAACTGCTGCTTGCTTATTCAAGCACTGAACGGCAAATTCACCTTTCTAAAAAGACTGGAAGCAAGAAGCCAAGTTTCACTATCTAGTTTTCCCGAAATGAATTAGGGTTTGGGATTTCACTGGGAATGACCACATTATCAAGATGCCATCGCCCTCCCGAGGCATTTAATTACAATACCTTCTCTGTTTTCCATTCAACCACCTCAACTTAATCTCCAATAGAACCAGACACACAAAAAGTTGGTCCATGGCCTTGCTGAAAGTCTCCTCTGGGTGCAAACGCTGGGATCCTGCATACATTATGCAAAAAGAGCAAAGGGAAACGAAAAGTAAAGATTGTTAGATAACGTAGTGACATTACCTTGCCCGTCTTGTGATCAAACCAGACGAGAGCATGGTTCCTTGACAGCACTTTGCAATCAAAGGTAGCATTATTCTGCGCTGGTCGACAGCGGGCCACGGAGCGGCCGATTTTAATGGGCTCGTCCAGGTAGACATGGCGCTCCTGAAATGGGTGCGAGTTCGGGCGGCAAGTGAAGATGGCCAAGGCTGACGGCATCGAGGACAGACTGGGGGTGTCTCTCCTACCAAGGTACAAAGAGGAGTTCCACCGGATCCGGACTGCCCCTCACAAGCCTATCCCCCTATCCCCCCCAAAATTTTAAATTAAAACAAACTGCGCATTGTCTAAGCATAACCAGTGAACATCAACAACTCTTCACTTGAGTGGGAAGACAAGCCAGCGCAAGCCCCATCACCTCCTTTAAAACCCAGCAGCGCCCGGATCGCACAAAGTCCCCAACGGGCAGCTTTCAGTCCATCTTCTTCCCTGGGAAGAAAAGGCTCAAACATCGGCCAGCTTCGGCCAAGAAAACTCCTGGAAGACAGTTTGGGGACTGGAGGTATCCAAGCAGATGAGTCACACACCAATTCTTGTGTTTTGTTTGGGATCGCGGCCGCTTTTCCCCCTCGGTGGCGGAAATGTTGCGGCACTGCAGCATGAAGGAAGGGTCGGTTCCGTGCGGCCAGGAAGGTCCCCTCGGGCCGAAGGAAGGTGTAGCCGAGCACCTCTGGGCAGCCACCGCCCCTCTTCGAGGGCCTCGGGGAGTGCAACGGCAGAGGCGAGGGGGGCGGCAGGAGGGTCTAGACCGCCAGCGGGACAGTCTGCATCGCTCCTGCTGCGCGGAGGCCGCCCGGAAGGTGGCACGAGGTCCCTGGCACGAGCCGAGACGGCGGTAGCTGGGGTCCTTGGCGCGAGGAGCGGGGACAGACAGAGGCGCGGGCAGCGGCCGAGTCGGGACTCCCGGGCACCTGGCGGGCGTCCCCGCGCCCAGGGCAGAGATCTGGCTCGGCAGGCCGGTGCGGACCGAGCGAGGCACAACCCCGGGGAGGCTCAGGGGTCTCGGCCCGCAGGAAGTTGGTCCCTGAACGCCTGGGCTCCTGGCTGCTGCTCAGCACACCGGCCGCCTTCTTTCAGGGTCGCCCCCGCGAGGGTCGCATCTCAGGGACGGCAGCCACAGCTCCCAGCGGACGAGGAGGTGGGGGAGGGAGGCTGGCCCGGAGATTAGGGGAGAGGCCTGGAGGCCCCGGGCTGGGTCCGCCGCAGCCTCCACCACTCGCGGCCGGTGGGACACGCTCAGGCTGTGCCCGACAAGGCAGGAAACTTTCCGACCTGGTGGGGAAAACATGAAAACAAACGGCCGTCAGGCGCCGGTGCCCGCCCGCCTTAGCCCGCACCCCCTTCAACCCGCCCCCCGCCAGTCTCCGCGACTGGCCACGACCTCGGCCAACCTCTCCGCGGACGAGCTGCGGGGATTTAGAGCCGGGACACCACGACGGGTCCAGCCTCCCTCGCCGCTGCCGCCGCCTCACCTTACCTTGCCAGCGCCGGCCGCCATAGTGACTCTGACTGAAACCTACCCGGTGCACCGCCACGGGAACGCGCACCCTTCAAGGGCCCTCCTACCCCCTCTCCCGCGCCGTAGTCCGGGGTCGTCACGTGTTAGACGCCGTGGAGGCCATGATGGTTAAGGGCATAAAGAGGGCAAGCTAATTTTTCACGGGCTCCAGACGCCATGTTAGTTAAGGGCTGGAAGCTTCAAACCATAGGACAACCTTTACGACCATTTTGGTTAAGGGCAAGAGAAAATTTGACCTGTTGAAGGTTTTCCAAACAAAACATGCCAACTTCCTACGTTACCATCTTGGTAAGAAGACACCAACTTTTACTAAATTTTATTCACTATACTTCTCATTGAAAATACCAATGAACGAAGAGAACAGACCCATCCGAAGGAGATGTTCATTTGCAGTCATCTTAACTGTGGGCAACACAGTCCCCTACCGCCGCCTTAGGTGTGAACAACCAAATTCCCACAAGTCTCAGGATTTGTGCATCAAAAATGAGATCCATCCTCCCCCTGCTACTTCTGTGAATCCTGTCCAGAGAAAAACTCTTAGTCCCCGCATTCCATTTCGAATGACCCTTCTCATGGGACCTATCACGTCCCCCCAGGACTCCAATGCAGATTCTACCCCGGAAAGAGTGTGAGTTCAGAAAGTTTAAAATCACGTGGCTTCCAGAGAGAGGTCAAACAATTTTCAATATGAAAAAAAAAGGGGGTATTGTCCCCACTCATAATATTATGGTGGTCGAGGAGTCATTAGTCTATAGAAGGAACGAATACAAAATCTAAACGAAAATTTCAAGAAAAGATGGTGGGAAGGAGTTTTATTCATTTAGAACCAATGATGGCTTCATTCTTCAAATTCCTTTGACAACAGGCTCTACCACTGTGTGAACTTGGGCTTTTCTAAAACTTTTCTAAACCCTTTCAAGCCTCCTTTTATCATCTATAATTTGGAGATAATACATAACTCACTTATTTTTTTTTTTTTTTTTTTTTTTTTTTTTTTTTTTTATTTATTTATTTGACAGAGAGAGATAGCGAGAGCAGGAACACAAGCAGGGGGAGTGGGAGAGGGAGAAGCAGGCTTCCCGCCGAGCAGGGAGCCCGATGCGGGACTCGATCCCAGGACCCTGGGATCATGACCTGAGCCGAAGGCAGACGCTTAACGACTGAGCCACCCAGGCGCCCCCATAACTCACTTATTGTGGGAATTCTTTCAATACTTACATATAGGGTTTTGGCCCTGTCCTACCTGTCCTAAATTCTGTGCTGGGCCCCGGGGACACATAGGTGAACAAAACCTCCATCCCTGCCCTCTGAAAGCAATACCTCGGTATTGTGGGATAGGGATGGGGGCGGGGAACAAACATAGACACAGATCATTTCACTGTGATGTAATGAGGGCTAAGATGGAAGCAAGCACTGAGTACTAAAGATGTCAGGGACAGCCTTCTAGGGGAGGTAACTAACTGAACTTAAGGAAGGGAGGTAGGAAAACCACAATAAATGACGTATTTGCTGAATGGCTTCTTAAATTTCCAGGAAGAGAGAATAGCAAGAAAGGAACAAAGCTATTTGAAACGGTGGACCAATATGCCTGGCACATAATAGTGACAATAAATATTTGATGCAGGAATGAAAATTACATACTCTTACTCATTATTACAGGATAAAGTAGAAATGGCACAAAGTGAGTCTGGAGGGAAGAATATGCATTAGATTATAAAGACTTTGTATATTTGTGTATTTTTCTAGGACTCTTCACTAACTCAACAAATATGTATTTAACTACTACTGTGTTCCAGATACTTTATTCTGGAAAAAAAAATAATAAAGATATGTTGAAAAGTTTTAATATAAGAGGATGAAAAGTTTTCATTTCTGGTCACTTTTAGGCTTATGTGGAATAAAGTAATACAGGTCCCTCCACAAATCCTTAATGAGTTCTGTGAATGAATTCATAAGTTATTTGTGCATACTTTCATTTGTTCATTCTATCAATATTTAATTGAATGCAAACTGGAAAACAGCTACTTTGAAAAGCCCTGCAACAGTGAAAATAACCCTGACTCCCTCAAGCTGCTCACAATTTAGGTGATGACATAGTAAGGTAGTTATTGTTGTGAGTATATCAAGAGTGATGGGAACATGGCAGAGTAGTTTATTTGTTAAATTTTAATTCCAGTACAGTTAACCTACAGTGTTATATTAGTTTTAGGTGTACAATATAGTGATCAACAATTCTATACATTACTCAGTGCTCATCAAGATAAGTGTATTCTTAATCCCCTTCACTATTGCACCCATCCCCCTTTGGTAACCATCAGTTTGTTCTCTATATTTAAGAGTCTGTTTTTTAGTTTTTTTACTTTATTTGTTTTATTAAATTCCACATATGAGCGAAATCATATGGTATTTGTCTTTCTCTGACTGACTTATTTTGCTCAGCATTATACTCTCTAGATTCATCCATGTTGTTGCAAATGGCAAGATTGCATTCTTTTTATGGCTGAATAATATTCCACTGTGTGTGTATATGCATATATATATATATACACATACATATATCACTTCTTTATCCATTCATCAGTCGATGGACACTTTGGCTGCTTCCATAATTTGGCTAGTGCAAATAATGCAGCAATAAACATAGGGATGCTTATGTCCCTTTGAATTAGTGTTTTCGTATTCTTTGGGTAAATACTACTGGTATTTACCCAGTAGTAGGATTACTGGATTGTAGGGTAATTCTATTTTATTTTTTTGAGGAATATCAATTCTGTTTTCCACAGTGGCTGTACCAGTTTGCATTCCTATCAATAGTGTACGAGGGATCCTTTTTCTCCTCATCCTCACCAACGCTTGTTTCTTGTGTTTTTTATTTTAGCCATTTTGACAAGTATGAGGTGATATTTCATTGTGGTTTCGATTTGCATTTCCTTGATGATGAGTGATGTTGAGCATCTTTTCATGTCTGTTGGCCATCTGTATGTCTTCTTTGTAAAAATGTCTGTTCGTGTCTTCTGCCCAGTTTTTAATTGGATTATTTCATTTTTGGTGTTGAGTTATATAAATTCTTTATATATTTTAAATACTAATCTTTTATCAGATAGGTCATTTGCAAATATCTTCTCTCATTCAGTGGGTTGTCTTTTAGTTTTGTTGATTGCTTCCTTTGTTGTGCAGAAGCTTTTTATTTTGATGTGGTCCCAATAGTTTATGTTTGCTTTTGTCTCCCTTGCCTCGGGAGACATATCTAGAGAAATGTTGCTGCGGCTGATGTTGGAGAAATTATTGCCTATTCTTCTAGGATTTTTACGGGTTCAGGTCTCACATTTAGGTCCTCAATCCATTTTTGAGGGTTTTTTTTTTGTTATGGTGTAAGAGAGTGGTCCAATTTCATTCTTTTGCATGTGGCTGTCTAGTTTTCCAAACAGCATTTGTTGAAGAGACTGTCTTTTTCCCATTGCATATTCTTGCCTCCTTTGTCAAAGATTAATTGACCATGTAACAGTGTGGAATAGTTTAAACTGAGACCTGAAAAATGAGTAGGAGTAGGGCAGCTACTCTGGTAGTAGCGGGATAATGAAATTTTAGGCCAAGAAAACATCATAAACAAAGACCCAGAAACTTGAGAGAACAGGACTTTACAGAAATTACATGTGGGCCTATATTACTGAAGCATAAGGGGCGGGAATTGGTCAAGAAGAGGCGCAGAGAAGTGGGTTTCAATTGTTGAAGGACCTGAGGGCAAATAAAGGACTTCACAACATTTTCATCTTTCTCCTAAGTTAAAGTGGAGTAATGAAAATCAAGGTTTCAAAATCAGACCTTGCATTACCATTTACCAGCACTGTAAACCATAATTTTTTTAGCTTCTCTAAGTCTTTGAAAAAAGTAGATAATACCTCACAGAGTTTTGGGATGCCTGGGTGGCTCAGTCGGTTAAGCGTCTGCCTTCGGCTCTAGTCATAATCCTAGGGTCTTGGGATCTAGTGCTCAGCGGGGAACCTGCTTCTCCCTCTGCCGCTCCCCCTGCTTGTGCTTTCTCTCTCTCTCTCTCTAATAAATAAAAATTTTTTTAAAAGATCATGACCCAAGCCGAAGGCAGACACTTAACCAACTGAGCCACCCAGGCATCCCTAAATAAAATCTTTAAAAAACAAACAAACAAACAAACCTCACAGAGTTTTGTTAGGATTAAGTAAGATAAGGCAAGACAAAGTGCCATCCTTCCATGATGCCTAGAAATAGTTATTTTAAATCAATGTTATTTTTTAATTCTTACTACTAGTAAGAATTCCCCCAGCCTTCCACGTACAGTAAGGAGCAAGTTGTATTATCCTAATTCATAGATGGAGAAACATGTTCATAAATGTAGAAATAAAAAGTATCTCCTTAAGTTCTACTACAGTATCTCTTAAAATTAATGTTAAACAAAAAGAATACGGTTTTTTTTCTGTGAGAAAAGCTGGGATTGCTGTAACCTGGAAGGGTAAAGAATCCTACCAAGCTATGCAGGGCACTAGAAATGCCAAAATGACATTGAAGACATTCTTCACCCACTGGTATTCGGCAGGCACAGAAAAGTCTTAAATTAAGAAATCTCATACATGAGATATTTTGAATTCTAAGCCATGTGGGTGTTCCTCTCTCTGATTCTGTACCCATACAATATTTTAATTAAATAAAAAATAGGTCATGTTTTGGGGTGCCTGGCTGGCTCAGTCAGTAGAGCATGCTACCCATGACCTCAGGGTTGTGAGTTCAAGCCCCATGCTGGGCATGGAGCCTACATTAAAAATATATATATATGTGTGTGTGTGTGTGTGTGTGTGTGTGTGTGTGTGTGTGTATAATGTTTTGAGAAATTTGGAATGGTAGTATTTCTCAATGTTGTAGCTTTGTCTCTTTTTTAAAATTTTTACCTTTTTAATAGACTGATAACTATTACCACTGCTATGATCCATGATCCGTGATAGTTTTCAATCTTTTTTTTTTTTAAAGATTTTATTTATTTATTTGACAGAGAGAGAGACAGCGAGAGCAGGAACACAAGCAGGGGGAGTAGGAGAGGGAGAAGCAGGCTTCCCACC